TATTAGAATACATATTTAGTTTATTTAGAATTATTATTAAAAATTATTATTTAGTTAAGTAATTTCATACAGTAGTTCCAACGTAAATTTATTGATTTATATTTGGAACATATCTTGGTCCAAGGAACAATTTTGAATTGATAGTATATTATATGTAGATAATATTTATTTTTATTTCTGTTGTGTACTATAAGGAACTGTTCATATTACTTATTTTTTTTATTTATTTTTATATATTTACTAGTAGTACATTATTATATAATTATAATATGGTTATGGGACCATCTGTTAAATTTAATATGAATAAAAACCTAGTAAGATACTTATATTTAACAATGTGCAGTAAATACAAAAAATCACTATAATTATATTCAATATTAATTCTTATATCGTAACAGGTCCCATAGATCCAGAATTAACGCTGAACAACGTCCGCAAAGTAGATAAATTTGGGTTAAAACCAAAGAAATCGATTAATAGATATAAATCACCAATTTTAAAAAAACAAAACTCAGATGATGCTATAGATAGTATAGAATTTAGTAAATGCAAGCTAAGTATTAAGACCCAAGTCTCTGGTGATGTAATCAATAATAACGGTGACGAAATAAAAAGTGAAGATGACAATGGAAAAAAAAACGAACACACTGATGAGATTAATCCAGATAGTAATCCAACTTTAGAAATGGAGTCAAACAACAATATAGACAGTCGAAGAAGCAGTATAGTGACACCTCCTGACATAGTGCGGGGTGTGGAAAATTATACTGAGGATGAACTAGAAGCGCATAGAGTAAAATTGCAAGAGCTGCAGCTGAAACAGAAATTGATGGAGGAACAGAACAAGAAGAGGAAAGAGATGCTAGCAAAAGCGTTAGCTGACAGGTGAGTAAATGAAATGAACATTCAGGTCCTATCACAGATTACGCAGACATAGTTACTATTAATATAATTTGGTGAACATTTATGCTGTTAAAAGATAAACAGCTATCAATTAACATTCCGAACTTTACAAGTCAGCACAGCTATTTTCATAGGAATAAGGAAACCACAGACCATGGTATTTTGACCGTCAAGTTGCCCTTTTCTTGATATGTTTAAAATAATAATAACTAAAGAAGTTGTTGCACAACTGTAAAAGTTCTAATATATTAATACTTTAAAGGTTAGTAAAAAATCTATAATCCCAGGATTTTTTGTTGTTGTCCACTGGTGGTAGTAACCATTTATTATCAAATAAACCTCATACTTGTTTACCACCTCCCTTAATACCAAAAAAAAAAAAAACAATATGAATTGTTTTTTTTTTCGTATATTTTTTTTAGTCATAAAATTTGATAGATAAAGGCATAGATAGTATTTAGCTGATATTGAGAATTGACTTAAAATATTCACTTGCATGATGTTCATTATAGACAGCAATTGTTGTATTTCATTTGCTGTGCACTGTGCTGTTAATGTGCACATTCCCACACTTTCTTTGTTACGAAATGAGACTACAATGGGCTTCGCTTGAGAACCACTAGCATTTTCATTGAAGTCATTGAGGTTGTTGACATTGGCTTGTAGATTTGAACAAGTAAATGTATTAAGCAATAATCTTGCTAAGATCAATTGGGCCAATATTTGGGGATGATGCAAATCGTTAAACATTAGTAAATGTGTAAAAATATGCAAAAGAACTAAAAGGGTAGTAGACCATCCGCCATGTTCAAAGATATACTTATCTGTCCTATTATGCCTACAAGCTCTTTTACTTAAAGATATTAGATGATCTAAATTTTCATTGATCTTCAGTTTACTTTTTGAGGTAAAGTAATACCATATCTAAGAACAGTTTTAATCAGATTATATTGGTAATAGTTTTTTGTACTTTATATCTAACCGAGTATCAAAATTATCAATATCCCTTATCTCTCTGAAAAAGCATTTGACATACTTATTGGCCTGTCAGTTCCACAATCCAGTCTGGTCGGTAATAACAGTTTCAAGTATGTGTGTGATCTTTTATTATGAGCAAATGGTATCACCTAATAACGAAAACCATATGGTAAATTGAGTGGATGTATTCCTTAAATCATTTCTACTTTTTTTTCTTTAAGTTGAGATTATATATGGTTTACTGAGGAAAGATAGTGATAAAAGTATTTATAAAGGGCAAAAGATACAAAGTTGTTGACAAATATTTTAAAAACATATTGGAGTTTAAATTCAATATTTACATGTTTAATTTAATTTTAAGATATGTTAAATATAAACATGTTTGAGGAATGATTTAACATCAATTATTTTTATTTCAGGACAAGACAAACCGAAGAGGAAGTGTTAAAACTAGAGAAAATAAAGAAAGAGCTGCAAGTTCTAGATGGTCAGTTTTCACAAGACGTTGCTGTGTTGAGGAAGAAGATTGACCAAGCTTGCTTAAGTTATTCAGAAGCTGAGTGAGTTTTGCTTATTTTTCATTTTCCGTCAAAAATTTTCCTTATTGCTATTACATGAGTTTTGCATCTCATATAAGTGTTGGAAACTGATCTACCTAAACCAGTTTATAACCGTTTTATTTAAACAAATGGCCAGAATAAGACCTGCCCAGACATGTATTAATAAATAATTAACTGAATAATGCTGTAATAAATTGTATACATTTTCTATAAAGCTGTAAACAAAAAGCGCTACAAAAAATATTATTATTGCTTTATGATCCTGCGATAGTGGGTTTCTTATTTTTTTACTGTGATAAATTGCCGATGTCGACACCTGTAATCAACTGAATACTAACGTAAATTACATAATATTTCGTAGAGATTTTACTCCCATTACCTGTTATCTTTATATATTTAACACACTTCTATTAGCTTGGTATGTATGTATCTGTAAGCATGTAACGGAATCATGGAACATGTTTGACCCATTTTAAAAATTCAAACTAAATTGAAACTTTTCGCACGTATCGTAAATTTATTGAAAATTAAAATTTTCGAAAGATTATCGTCTTTAAGTTTGAGTTTTTCCATATTAATTTTACTTATTATTAATCGCATGATTGTAACAGGTTTTGACTTGTCCGAAGACCGATTTATCCATCGGTTGCATTTTATCACTCGTGTTTGAATGCGTAACGAGAATGATATCATTATCTTTCGCTTGGCAAATTCCGGAGCGGAAATGTCGTTCATGATTATCCATACATACATAATGGGCACTCCTTTGTATTTGCTCCTGAAATTTTGTGAATTGTTCGTGGCTTTCAAAAGTTGTCCATAAAAAATGAGATCCGTTGTATTAGGTCTTGAAATTTTGTGAAATGATTCATGGTCGAAACTAACGCGGTAAAAAAATTTATGTGAATGAATTTAGAACGAGAATAATCTTTAGGTATTACAAACTCCCACAAGCGACCCGCCCCGTCTTCGCGCGGGTGCCATGTATTATACATAAAAACCTTCCTATTGAATCACTCTATCTAGTAAAAAAAAAAACCGCATCAAGATCCGTTGCGTAGATTTAAAGATCTAAGCATACATATAGACAGGCAGACAGCGGGACGACTTTGTTTTATACTATGTAGTGATTACAAAGTTTTACAAATATTACAAGTGATAAAAAAATACACTTAATACTGAATAATCTACGAAGTGAACAGTTCTGACCTCCTAAGTAAATCATTTCATGACCTGTGTTTAGGAGACTCAGTTTCATATTTTCATTTGCAATATCTGAAGTGTCTTATGGCGCTCCGTGACATATAAGTCTTTAAAATGAACAGCGGAAAATTTATTACTCCAATGCCGTTATAAATTGTCCGCTTGTTGGGAGTTAAGGGGAGTCAAGGTAAATTGTTTGCGACTGCTACAATTTGTTTTTACAGCTTGTATAAACACATTAAACAATCAATGTTAGCTTCAAACGCCAATGTAATTTATTACCTCAATAAAAGGTTTTGTTTAAAAATGTGTATCATGTTGAATTAATAGACAATGAGTGAAGTAAATTTGACTTAGTGGAAAATCTTCCTCTCTGAGCTAAAAATAGTAAATCACCTTTTTATAATCTGCTCTAATATAGCGCCAGTAAATCACAACCAAGTTCACGTTTCAGTTGGTAGAGGGCGCTTTGACAGCCTTACGCAATATAACTTGAATATGAAGGAGTTTTCAAAAAGTACCACTGTCCTAGTTAAGATGCTTTACAAACCGACGGTGCCATCTAGTTACGTTATACTTCGGTCGTATTTTTTTACGTTAAATCAATTTTATGATTTATTTGTAAAATTCTATCACAAACAGCTGCCTAACTGTTGATAGAACGCTTTCTACATAGGCTATTAGCGAAAAGTCCGTCAACGCTCATCCTATTGTAAGGTTCAATGTAAAAAACTGCCATTATATTTTTTTTTAATCGGCACTTTGAAATTAAAATTTAGACTCTGTAATGTTGGTTGAGCTTGCATATCCACGGCCGTATCGGCTCGTAATAAATTCCAATGACCATGCAAACAAAAACAGTGATGCACGATTATCTTAACTGCAGAAAACACTACCTGAAGGTGGAGAAGGAGTTCTTGCAGGCGAAAATCTGTCTGCAGAAGGAGAGGGAGAAGAAGGAGCTGCTCACGGAACATTTGTGCGCGCTGATCACGCACAACGAGACGCGGAAGGCGCAAAAGTTGGAAACCCTGATGCTGGAACTGGCCACGGACAAAAGGGCCAGTGTCAGCGAAGTGGGCAGCCCAGTAGAGGACAGAGCGCCAGTTATAGAAGACGGCGTGGACCAGAGAACAGGGAAAATGGTGGAGATGCAAGAAAGCTGATCAAAACGGTGTTGCTCCCTTCATTGCTCTTCTCGATGGAATGGAAGTGTCGAAGCGGGCATTAAACGTCTTTGCTCATGTTCATTGCCCACTTGGCTACCGGCCTTTGTTCGAAAGTGATGAACTTACGGACGAGAGAAGTATTGCGTAGGCAAATGTAAAACAAAAACAAAAAAGGAGGACTACAGAAGGTTCGAGTATTACGTAGGCAAGCTTGGAGATAGGGATATACACTTTTTCTAACTTCTAACTTTAGCTGAAGACAAAAACAAATAAGGAAAATGTTCTCATAACAATATTTAAGTTATTAGTGTAATGATATTTATTCGTTCAATCTATACTTATAATATATAAATGGACAGCCGGTATTCTTGTTCGGTTATACTGCGAAAACCGATCGGAATAATACTTATACCATAAGGTGCAGCGTGTTTCGGAAAAGCTTTTAGTATATGATATGTTGGTGATTATTTATCCGGAACCTATAATTTTTTGACTTAAGGAAAGCGGTATGTCCCGCATAGCGGGAGGCGGAAAGCTTGTACAGTATAAAATGAATTCGAACTCCTGTAAAATGAAAATAGCCGTAACTGTTAACTTTGTTACGAGTTATTCACAATGTTTGCTAAGGGAATTCAAATCTTTATATTTAGAAATAATTTAGTCTTCCTCGATTTCAATTGGCACCATACGCCCTGCCAACACCATCACCGCTACCGTAGCCAGGAATAGCAGCACAGCTGGCGACTCGGAGTCTGGGTGGGGATATCCAAGTTGCCAATTTTTAATAGTTTGTCGGTCTATTTATTTATAATAATAAAAGGGTACAAAAAGTCCACTTACATTATTTAAGTTAATTGATTTATAATATGTCCCTAAAGTAACAGCCTGTGGGTGAGTCCTAAGTTCAGGGGTGGACTAAAACAGGCTAAAATGATAATGATGAATTTAATTCGATATATACTAAAGGTTTGAGAACAACCCTTACTTTAAGTCTTATGATTTGGTGAGGGGGAGCTCACAATCTTACTAGTTTCGCTTAAACCGGGGGTTTCCGAAACATTTAAAAGTTTGCTGACGTAATACTAAAACGCGTAATATGTGCCGATGTGTGTGTATATAACATACATTCACATCAACTTGTTGTTGTCATCATTTCGATGATTACGTAAGATCAGTGTCGAAAGTTTTTCCAAAAAATTTGGTGCAATTGTATTAAGTCTTATGTGCCTTGTCGTTTATGTACAAATACTAGTTCTTAAACATTTATCCATACTTTATGATTAATAATAAGAGTTGTGTAAAACATGACAATTATACCGTATTTACTAGGTTATGTTTATAATAAAAATATATTTTACTATAAAATTATATTTTAACCAGTATGTGTTACGTAAAAGAATGAATGATCCAGAATATTATTTTTCTAATTTGTTTATTTAATAATAAAAAAGTTCATGTGAATTAAGAATGTTTTATTTTTAAATCTCAGTTACAAATTTCAAAGATAAAATTTCTAAGATTTTCAACAATTGTGCTTACAACACATATATTATATACATTCTTTTTGTACTACTGAAATAAGTATTGCTTAGATTTCCATCGCATCCATGAAAAGGCTTATTATAATATATTTAATTAAGATATGACATTCACAATTTAGAAGTATAAGATTTATACTCACGGAATGTTTAGTTTATATTACCCAAATAAATAATGCCACCGTGAAAAACTCAAATAAAATTTATAAGGAATAATAAAAAAAAAATGTCGTCCTACACACTAATAAATTTAAATCTATCTTCATTATCAACGTTCATATGATAAAAAATAACATTTTCAATTACTGATACTTGATACTCATCGCCTCGTCTGTTGCAGAAGAATGTTCATCGACACTTGGTGAAGAACATTCTTCTGCCCGTATGCTATCCCCAATTCCAATAGGAATACTTCTTGTTGTCTCCCTTCAGAATGGATTTTATGTTGACGTCGGCTTCGTGCAGCTCCTTCCGTTTGTCCCTCTCCATTTTGATGAGTTCCAAGCCGCGTTTCGCAGCGCAATGGTATCTTTGGCTCAGTGACGCTTCCGATCCCTTTATGCGTGGTATGTGTCCCGTGTATCCCGCTATCGGCGGAAATTCTGGTGAGATTGTGTGGTCTGGAATAGGGAAAAACAGCGGTCTCAGGATGGCACCTTGTGGAACCTCTAATGCGTTATTGATTACACAAAATTTTGGGTTATTTAAATAATATCGTTTGATGTCAATCGCATTTTGATTTGTACTTGATGCCAGTTGATTGAAATATTATCGATATTTAATGAGTTTACTGAGTTAATAATAGACATAGTGGGTCAAATGCAAGTCTGGGGTTTTAACTTTACCTTTATATTTATTGATTTCTCTGAATCTACTCAAGTCACGTCTTATTTCGTCCCTTGAATGTATGGTTTCCATTTTTGGAGCACTTCTGGATCGCACGTAACTCTTATTCAAGTCCGTTTTGCGTTTAAGTTCGCGTTGGCTTTCCGTAAAATCGGCCATGCAGTCGTCCGCCGCCCGGCCGTACGATTTGCCATATCTAAACGAAAAGACGGATGCATAAATACCTTTCTTTGAACAAAAATACCCTTTAAAAATGTATCTACATTGCTCGGGACGCTATGTTACGAAAAAGTAAAAAATTATTTATAATAAAATGTCAGTGTTTTATAAATAAATTCAGTCATTAAAAGGTTTGTGGCCTTTTAATTTTTGGTGTTTAATAATCCCAAATTAATATCGAATATAGTCAAATATATGTAGATACACTGACATCCATACACACGCATTTCTCATTAATTTCTGTGATTGGCAGGCTCGGCCGTTGAAGACGACCTCACAGATTGATTCACCGGCTGATTGCCACACCGTCGAAAATCTTAACGTCTTTTATCTACATTATTTTTTAGCATTTGAGACAATGCTTGGCGCATCCATTGTTATATCCTTTCCAACATACACAATTTCGAATATCGTTTTCAACGATAATTCGAACGAGAGGTGTCTGATTTTTTCGTACTTTTTCTACATATTTTAATGTTCAATCTTAAGTGCAAAGATAAGTACTATAAACAATTTCAATTTCTAAAAAGCAATGGCATCAGCCGTTTAGCTTAGTGGTTAAAGCGTCAGGCCGCGAATGCCGAAGACATGGGATTCCCACAGCGGCGACAATCTTTTCGTACTTTTTCTACATATTTTAATGTTTAATTTAAGTGCAATGATTAGCACTATAAACGATTTCAATTTCTAACATATATCTTCCTATTCTGCAAGTTTATTTAAGTTTTATTGTTGAACCATAAAATTTAAATAAACTTCCATTTTGGAACATAAGGTATATGAGTGCCCTAACGTATACAATTTAATGTCGAACAACAATATTGTATCAATTTGAAATTCATTTTCACCTATGATAGGATTAATACCGTGTAAGGTAAGTGTAAATCAATTCTCTATGTTTTTGGAGTAATCCAGATTAATGGATTAAGAATCAAGATAGAAACGATAAAAAGATAAAGAAATATATGATTAACAATCTGGAGTCACGGGTTCGAAACTGAGAGACGTGCTCCAAAGAGTCTTCCTAATTAGGTTTCCTAATCAAGATTTAGATCAATAGAGACCATGCATTGCATTAATTTTAAATGCTTTAATGGTCGCCTTTTAAATAAAATAAATTCAACCTGAAGTGCATTCCTGGTACATAGCCCGTGTAGCCGGTCATGTAGACGGGCTGTCGGTGCTTGACGCCGTCGTAGACGTCAGAAGCTGGCGCGTTGCGCCGCGGCATATTGTCCAGCTCGTAAAAGTCGCGTGGCCTGTATTCCAGCGGCTTGCTGCAAATTGGGATCGAGTTACGATTATGGAGCCCCGTAAGTCTTCGCTGTTGCACCAACGGGAAGTTCCTTTTGGGTAAGTACCACTACCTCAGAAGACCGGCGTGAGGTGGAAGTGTTATACTTCTACGTTTCTTCTGGTGATTGAGGTAGCCGATTTTATTAAAATGTGCAACGCACCTGCAACCCTACGGATTGCAAATATCATTGGGCGGCTACTATCACATCGGTATCACTATCACATCAGATAAACCGCCAGCTCGCTTGCCTACTGACATAAAAAAAGATCGGGAGAGGATATCTGTTAATAGTAAATGACAAACAAAAGATTTTATATTACAAGGGGATGGGATAGTAGCTAACGGTTGTGCGAATGGTACCCAAATTTGTACCGGCTCCTTTTCACACGTGTGAATTTTTCGATCAACACTTTTACAAAATTTCATATACTATCAAGAGAACCATTTATGACTTACCATATCAAATGCACAAGTACATGTTATATGTAAGTGCAAGAATTTTACTATATAATTAGAATTATATTCACTTACTTAAAAAGTCCTTTGGATCGTATTTCTTTAAGTATTTGCCGCGTGTTGTCACCGTAGCATTTACCGTAACGGAATTTTAGCATAGGACAGTGGCCAGTATATCTGGAACAAATGAAACTTTGTCTAAATGGCGGAATGTAAAAGTTCTTTAAATGCTCTTAAATGTGTAGAAAAAAGGACGAAAAGATTTTCGCGCGATATGAACCCACGACCTCTCAATTTAGTTGGAGAGATCACCACTATGAAACCTTTAATTGCCTCTTTCTAAATTGAATTGGATCTGGTTCAGCAAATCAGAATATAAAATTTACCTACAGTAATGCTGCAACCCTTAATAAGATGTGCATGCATACAATTTTGATTGCAAATATAAATACTACAAAATTTGGCAGCTGGATCCTACAACGACGACATACATCACCACTTGTTTTGTAACAGTATTAAGGTGGGCAACAATTTTAGTATGTGATTCTCAAATGATCGATGTGTTATAAAATTTTTATATTACGAGATAAAGAGAATCATATAGTTACATAATATCTTAGACATATATCGTAGTTATAAGCAAAATCCCCGATATTGCTGTCGATATATTAAGGGAAAAATAAAATTAAAAGAAAAATAACTTTTTTTGTGTTCTTTTGTTAATAAAATGAACTAAAAATTTAAAAATAAGAAAAATATCATTGTATAGGTACCTACATTGCAACCTATATTCGGCTACGTCACAATAAGCTCATATCGTAAGTAGACATAACTATTAGACATTTTTATTAAACCCTAAAACTTTACACCTTGAATTAAATATTTGTGTTTTTATCACATACCCAATTTTTTAAAAATACAAGTGTTACATGGAACATTATATTTATTAAATTATTTATTATAGCATAATTACACCTTCATTATTTTTCTTTTGCAATCACAATGTAACATGCTATTATTTATAAAGAATTCGATACTTCAGGAATGTTAATCTTAAATTCTACTGCGTAAAAATAGTTTAATGTAATAATTTATCGAAAAATCCGCACGTATTGTAATGATTATTATTATATTATAAGTTAAACTGATGTGTTACATTTTTAAAGTAATTAAATTTTATATTATTTTTAAGTAGTGTTCACTGAGGCCTATTATTATCATTTTATATATGTATATAAAAGGTGTATTCAGTGATGAGGGTCCATGAAATTAAATTACATTTAGGTTACATCATTACATGGTATATTTCGTATTACAGTAATCTTATATCATATGATTGCTTTGCAACGAAGCGTAAAATTATAAGGCGGCATAGGTAAATGTCGAAAATCCCTAATATTAGGGACGTGTAAATCTTGGTAAATTTTATTTTTCATATTTTCATATAACGTACTTAGATCATACTCGGTTTATTCGGAAATCAATGTTAGGATTTGTTGGCGCTATCTTCTGTGTAATAACATGTCGCGATCATATTAAGAATATTGAAAAAAAAAAATCGTTTCTACATTTTTAAATCGATTTTTAACCCTAGACAATTTCAATTTGATTCTATCGCAGGACTAAACGGTAATATACGATTCATATGAAATTTACATTCCTATAATACAAAAAAAACAGCACTTTTTGAACCGTCCACAATTATTCACACTGGGGCGGACATTTGTTCCTTCACATCTATTTGCCTTGCAACAAGCTAGTCGATTCACAACGGTCAAGGTGTGAAATTAATCAGGGACAGTCCTCGTAGGCGAAGCAGTATCCCGAAGATAAGTGCAGACGAACGGGAAGTCGCAATCGCAGCGCGACCAGCCGCATATCACGCCCATCGGCATCGCGACAGGCTCGTCGCACGTCCGCTGGGAGGGCGTCGGCCGGCACTCGCTATCCACTCGGTGCATGTGCTCCGGGCATTTTGTCACACCTGCAAGAGACACGGTTTGCGGTCATCCGAGCTTACGCGAGACTAACGCCCGGTTGCCGAAGCACTGAACATCGTAAATGTCGCCTAATCAGCTGTCAAATGGCTTTTCAAATTTCATTTAAACAAGAAGGATGGTTAAACTCTTTGAATTGATCATTCTGATCATTAAGAAGACCGTTCTGGTCAATCAGTGATGATCGGTGTTTCAGAAACCGGGCGTAAGCGTTACACCAGATTCTACTAAATTATGTTTTTATAGTTTCCTGGGTTTTAAAACGGAACATTGCAGATAAGATCTTTGAAAGGAAATAGCGAAAGACGAAAGACGAAAAAAAATATTTATAGATAAAGCTCTTAAAGCCTTACTAAAAACTAAAGTGAAACAAGTGCTTCAGGGAAGAAAAAACTTTCTTAATGCAGCTGCTTTGTAGTATAACAAGATCGCTGTGTTGCCACCCCTATTGGGTATAAAGTGGACGACAGATCGTCCATGAATTGATTGGATCTTTTTGTCACCTTTATGAGATACCTATTTAATTAAGTATCTAATTTTGCTCATTAACACAGTAACAAACACAGGTAATACAAAAAAGTATGTGTGTACGCACGCCAGAAGCTATACTTCTTTAGCGTACAGACATTAAATACAATTTGTAACGGTTTATTTAAATAACTTGGAATTATAGGTAAATGTCAATGCCATGGTGATGCCGGGAAGTTCATAATGTCTTTTTTGGGGGTCGGCGCATCTTAAAAATTTTACTCATAATTTAGCGCTAAAAGAATATAAATAAAAAAAAAAACACACATAGCATACAATATATTCGGTAAGAAAAAGCGAGTCAACTATATGAAGGTAATTAATGTTTTAAAAAAAAAAATTGTCCACTAATTGCTCCCATATAAAAATATCACAATAAAAAAAAAACTTAATACTCACACGTATTGTTGTATGTGACACAACCAGGAATTCCGACATTGGCGTAGTACATCGAGTCCACGAATTCGAGGAGACAAATTATCAGCCAAATGGGTTGCATTGCGTTCTGCCACTGAAACTTCGCGAGTCGTAATGAATTTGGAGCGTAGCGATGGATTCGTTTTATAGTTTACGTTTTGTCCAACATCGTCCGGTTTACGATTGACGAAAATTCAACAATGTATTCGGACAAGAATCGCTGTATACAAACCATTCGGAAATTACACACAAAATTGGTAGGGCCACACAGCCTGCTGTTTCACGGATAGGCATAGTCGTCCGAGCAAGTACCACGGCCTCTCAAAAGACTGGCGTAAAGTTACAATCCAAGTATTATTCTCAATGATATTATATACAAATATGAGGTAAATATGACAGTACCGTACCGAAAATTAGGCACCCAAATTGCGCCAATAGGTGTAATTAAATTGCAATTCTATAGACTGCTATCTCTTTCCATATCAAACGTTCTAATCTGTCACATTCACTTAAACATGTCATTTAAAGTTAAGTGAAAAAAGTTTCAACGTGTCATCTTTATTAAAACATCATTTATACGATCGAGTTCCTTCTGTTGAGTGATGTAATCGGTGCCCAGTTTTCAATTGTTTGGCAAAGCATCTGCAACCCGTCGGGTTGTAGATTCCTATGGGCGGCGGCAAACGCTCAACATCAAGGGAACCGCCCGCTCCCTTGCCAACTATTCACGTTAAAAAAAAAGAGTATGAGTATGTAGGGTTGGCAACAGCACTCCTAACGGGTTCCGGCCAAGTCGCGACGGAGTAGTATAGTGGTCGTGGTTTGGTCTTTCCACGTAGACCGATAGACAAGATGACACAAGCCAGGCCTACAATAAGACAGATTTCAAGCTCCGAGTTGACATTGAGCCATCCTTAGATAAGTGCAGGTGGGTACAGGTAGGGCACATGTTAAGCGTTACCGTGTTAGAGGTAACCATTCTCCCTGTCTTCTGTAACCCAGATGGAGGTTGCAGGGGAATAAAACAATGTACATAATCTTTACTGTTCTTTATGTTCTCTTGAAGAAAATTGGCGACCCATGACCTGGTTTTAAACGTTGACATCCACAACGCTCGCGTGCTACGTGCCTCTACGTGTTCTGTCTTATGTATGACTGTATGTTTTAGGAACATGCAAAGCTTTACAGGCCTCTAGCGAAGAATCAACATCCACTAAGATGCGCTCGCAAATAATTTTGAAAATAATTTTTAATTTAGGTGGCAAGTGAGCTGGCGTTTCATCTGATGCTAAGTGATAACTGCCACCATGGACATTAGCAACATCTGTAGGGTTGCAGACGCGTTGCCGCCTTTTAATAATGTGGGCCCCGGTTACCTTTCTCACCATACGAAACACCGAAGTACCTATATAACACTTGCACTTCACGCCGGCCTTCTATGAGGCCCTGGTACTTCACCGGACGGACTTATTCGTGCAACAGCGAATACCTACTGTCGCGTGACCCTACTACAGTAAGTCGATACTCGAACCACATTAATGATATAAAATGAAATTCTTTTGGAAGTTGTCGTTTTACCTTTTTTTTTTTATTAAGGGCGTGACAAAAATTCGCGCTGATATAGCACCGTTTCCACAATAAAAAGGGAAAAAAAGGCTCCGTAAGTTCGTGATAGTTACGGAAACAACGGTAAATTTTATTTTTCTTCAATACCTACTCCTTTTTACTTAGATACCTATGTAAAAAGGTAGGTATAGAAGAAAAGAGGGTATATAAAGTTACAGTACCTGGAGGACCGAGCTTTGCTCGGTTTGTTTTTTTTTGGCAAATCGTGTATTTTGGAAATTACATTTAGATACAAATTACTGAGTAATGAAATATGCATAATATTTTTCGATCTTACCGACGTAATATATATGTAATTACATATATGCTTATATAATTTTGATAATATAATTTTTAAAAATTAAATTGAAAATATAATTTTTTTTGATATACATAATATATATATTATATAATACACGTTATCATATATAAATGTTTAAAGGATAAAATAGGTCTTTCCTCTTATACTAAACTACGCTAGTACGTAACTCTTCCACTGTTTAAATTTAATTGAACCGTCGTCGCCCTCGCGGGTATTTAGTTGCGGTAACAGTATCAATGTCGAATGACATACCATTTCTCACTGAGACCGCGCATTAGCCTTGTTAGAGCTACCTACCATATAAGCATATAGTCTCGATCTGAATTCCTCCTGTTAACACATGTTCCATCTTATGTCAACCGTTTTGAGGCCCGACCCATTTTTGTGTTATGTGGCATTCAGGTAATTATTGTACGAACACCGTCAACATGATTGCAGTTATGTTTGTAGTAAAAATTATTTATATGCCAAAAACAGGAATTACACGAGTTATAATTCTTTACTCTATCTTTCATCATCGTACAAACAAACGTCGAGCGGGCGAGATTTACTCCGTATTTCCTTACACGGGTAACAATTTGCTTTTTCGATATTTGTTCACATGAACACAAGTGTGAATGTTTTTTTTTTAATAAAGTAATAATTCACCGGCAATCGTTTCCTCGCATATCACAATCTCTAAATTAAATGGAAACAAAAGCTAGCTACTTTACTATACAAAATAAACTCGTAATCAATTCCCCTGTTATATGTTTAATTTCAAAAGCCGGCAACTGGGCAAGCAAATCACGTGGCTACAATGCTTAGATAGTCACAGCAGTCCAATGAGTGAGACCCTACTCGACATCCTAGTAAGGAATCCTTTTGCTATTATCAAATACAGAACATAATTACGAAACAGCAATTTTCAATAACTGCACGCAATTATAATCCAAGAAACAATTAGATGAGGCGGACAGTAAACATTTTCATTCTCTCTCATAATAAATATTTGAAATTTATTTACTTTCAATTCCAAGGAACATTTATATTATCCACTATTTTCTTATAAACGATCATGACCATTTAACACACCAATCGTAAAGGGTAAGGCATAGTAGAAATAGTTTCGGAGTGTATTTTGTATTGCTCGTGAAAACTGGAAACATGCACGGTGAACAGTATTTAACATACTTACGCCCGGTTTCTGAAACACTAACGCTAACGGTGGTAGGGCCACGCAGCAGCCTCGGCTGTGGTACGAATGGGCAGGCCCGTCCGGGTAAGTACCACGATCTCACAGAAGACCAACGTAAAGTGGAAGTATGACAAATACTTTCGCGTTTCGTCTGGTGAGTGAGGTAGCCGGAGCCCAATTTTCAAAAGGTTGTCAACGCATCTGTAACCCTCGTGTGTGGCAGATGTCCATGGGCGGCGGTATTCACTTAACATCAGGTGAACCGTCTGCTCGTTGGACAACTTTTCGCAAAAAAAAAAACACTGATCATCGTAGATGTCAACTAATCAGCTGTCAAATGGCATCTACGATGATTAGTGTTTCAGAAACCGGTCGTTAGTATTACATCGCGAATAACTAGCTTTTACTTAAACCTTAGTATTATTTACCTAGAGAGCAGTTTTTGTCAACATGTCTTTATTTACTTTATAAAATATTTATAAACGCTATATCGCTAGTCCAATTAGTCGGGTCAAGGCTTAAGTCGAGTTTGTACTTCCACCGGGTCAAGGTGATGGTTGGTATGAAAGCATACAGTTTTCTACTATCATGCTCATATAAACGTACTAGCTGCTGCCCGCGACTACGCCTGCTTAGAATAGGTTGAAGGCGTAACATTCAGACAGAAAGACATATATATATATATAAAAATATGTATATAAATTATAGCCTATGTGTTATTCTGATGTATAAGCCATTATATTATTGTAAAGTTTCATTAATATCTATTCTGTGGTATTTGCTTGAAAGAGTAACAAACACCCATACATACAAACTTTCGCGTTTATATTAGTAAGGAAGTAAGGGTAGTAAGTATGAGAAGTCATTTTTTTTATTAATGAAAAACAAAATCAACTTTAATATCTCGCTCTCTATTCATTTATGATATAATTATTTTTCAGGAGTTTCCTAAGTAGCTCCGAAGCCCAAGATCCAATACCAATTAAATTAATATAATTAACCCCACGTGGTCGCACCAGCCTTCAAATAAAAAAATAATCATCACAATCGCTTCACTCCGTTGAGAGTTCTGTGGTAACAAACATAAAAAAAAATACAGTCGAATTGACAACCTCCTCCGTTTTTGAAGTCGGTTGAAAATGGAAAATTGTATGTCTGTGTTACCATCATCATCATCATCCTCCTGCCCTTAGGGATAAGGTTGGGTCGCCACATAATCACGGTGTAAGTGGTTTCGTCTAGGTATTCTACGACTGGCCGCCTGCTTGACGTCACGCCCTTCTTGGGAACAAATCTGGAAATCTTTGGGTCACACAAAATCTTGTCCCCTGTGGGAATCGAACCCACGTCCCCCGATGCGGAAGACAATAGCTTAACACCTGTGTCCGTGTAACCACTTGCAATTGTTACGTAGCTATGTGTGATATAGTAATTGAAATTCTATTCCATCCCACTTAATTAACATTTACGACCAACTTCGAGTAATTTGCAGTTTTGATAAAGTGTCCAAATTTACTTTTTAAATCATACTTGATATCGTTCATGACACAGCTGTTTGGGCATTCCGGATATTGGTCCGGACGTGGAGAATGAAAATGGAAAAACGCCTTAATATTTATGTAATAATATAATTTAACTTATCTAGTAGAAACTTAGCTAGTTCTTTCATATTGCGAACGGCGGACGTTGTTTCCTGTTTGTATAGTACAAAAGACATAACTTTTGACAAATAGTATATTGCACAAGAATTTCGCGTGATGTTGCAGCTTTATGGCTTTTTAATTGCTTCTTACTGAGCAACGATCAAATTTCACTTCTGGTGCCAGTTAAATAAACTGTCTGTAAATAAAAGTCTTAGATCCTGATTGCAAACAATTTTTTTTATGATAAACAGTCAAAGCAAGGCTAAGGCGTTTATTTAAACTAACACTACACCACTGCTTACCATAATTGTTACACGGATAGCGTAGTTGATAAC